TATGTAAATTCAAAGTCACACAGTGAAATACAAGCATAATAAAATACACAGTGAAATTTTTCATCACACGATGAAATTACTATGTCTCAATGAATTTTCACTGTACGAGTTAATGAAATTTGGCTTTCTGCACCCAAAGAAATTTTAACTAAATATTAAAAATTGTTAATAGGAAAAGAAAATGCAAAAATGTGTTTTTTAGAGGTAATATCATTTTGCTCCCTAAATTTTCATGTATTTTTCAATTTGACCCTCAAATTTCGATTAATATCAGTTTTTACATAAACTTTTCAAAATTTTGATCAATTTGGCCCCTGCCATCACATTCTGTCTATAAGTAGACGAAAGAAATTTGTTTCATAGCTCAAAATTTCAGAGGCTCAAGTGGCTCGAATGCCAAAACGACGTCATTCTGCATTTTGGGCATTTTTTCCCCTCTATTTTCTCTTTAAAACAGAGAGGCGAGAAAAGAAAGAAAGAAGGAACAGAGAGAAAAGGGAAGAAGAGAGAAAAAGAAAAGAAGAGAGGGAGAACAAAGAGAGATATATATACAATTCCATGTGTTTATACACAGATCTGTGTATACACACAGAGAAGGGTTGGAATGGACGATAGTGATGGCAACGTCGGTGCGTGGAGATGTTTGCAACAGTGATGGCGATGAACGACGGTGATGGCTGCGTTGGTGGGTGGAGGGTTTGTGTAAGGTCCCGGTGTCCCACATCGGGAATGGAGGGGGAGTTCCTATGTTATAAAAGTAAAAATCTGAACCCTTATATAGTATCGAGGCCTTTTCTCAGGTGGTGAAATCCCTAGTAGAACTTCCCAGTTAAGCGTGTTTAGGCTAGAGTAGTTCTGGGATGGGTGACCTACTATAGGAAGAACAAATCCGTGCGTGCATGGCTCAAAGCGGACAATATAGGTGATATATGAAGGGTTGGGGTGTAGACACCCCATTTTTGACAGCCCTTAAGACTTGGGCGTTACTGATGGTTTACTTGGTGATGAAAGGTGTGTAGGGTAAAGGTTCAATTTCTTCCGCAAGAGGAGAGTCAAATCCCAACTTCACATCCGTTTTTGGACCAAAACTATTTTGAATGGTTTGTAGACCTTAAAACCCTCTCTTTCAAAACATTTTTGAAAATAGCTTCCTACGATGTCCCGACGCTCGCATTTTGTTAAATGTTGCGCTTTTCGGTAAACTGAGCAAGGACAAAGTTGAAATGAATGAAAGAGAGTTGAAATCTTTGAAAAATCTTTCAAAACACCTTACTTAAGGGTTTGAAGTTGAAGAAAAGAGGAGAAGAGGGAAGAAACCAAGTTGAAGAAGAAGATGGGCATGAATTGCTAAGAGAGGGACGAGCAGTCCTCGCTAAATCAGGCCTATCTGTCTATGCACTTGGAGTTAAGGTATGAGGCCACCACCGTTGGAAAGGAGACTTCTGGGGCTTTATTTTTCACTCAAGAATCTCCTAAAACCGAGTCCGGATGGGGGAGATATGATTGGTTGAAGTTGGGCATCATTCCAGTTGAACCGAAACTGAGCAATCTTCAATAAAAGAGGCATAACTTTTTTTCACAGTTGGAATTTTTATGCAAGACTGCCACCATTGGAAAGCTTACTTCTGGGGCTTCAGTTTAGACACAAGAATGACCTGAAAAGGAGTTCATATGAAAGAGTTATGCCAATTTGAAGTTGGACCTGCAGAGCAGAATTTGATATCGGCCACAAATATGTGCTACCGGCCACAAAAGTAACAGATCGGCCAAAAAAGTAGTAGGCCGGCCATCACAAGTAGTAGGCCGGCACTAAAGATGGCTGGCCGCCCAAGAATGACCCAAACTCAGCTTTTTTGAAGATATTTCATCCCCAGCTGTTTCTAGCTTGCTCTAGCTATCCCCAGCTCAGCTATTTCCGACCTTGAGTGTTGCTTTTGCTATATATGATGATATATCTCCCATTTTCCAAGGGAGAACTTCCTAAGCAAGTTTTGAGAGCTTCTCTCATTAAACTCCCCCTCTCTCTACAATTTTCAGAGCAAGAACCTCTGCCTCTCTCTCTAGAGCCTCTCCCTCTTGCCTTTTGTGTATGCAAGTAGAGAAATACCCCTGTTTTGCCTAGACATCCTTGGTGAAAGTGGTCCATCTTTCGAAGGAGGTTGCTTGAATCTTACTTGGGACTTTGTTGGAGCTCCAAGAGGTGTTTTGGCTTAGATTTTGGGCTGGTTTTGCAGCTGTATATCAAGGGTAACATCTCTCTCCCTTTAAGTTTGTTTTACATATTTGCTTGGCCATCTTTTCACACTACTTTGGGGCTGTTTTGGGGGTGGTGTTGAACTACAAAAACCTCTATTTTTTCCTCTATTTTTCATTCCTAAAGGTCTTGGTTTGTGCCTTGGTGGGCTAGGGGGTTGTCTTCTCTTTTGCTCCTTGGCTTGTAAGGCCTTGTGAGCCAACTTTCAAATTTTTCAAACAACTTCATTTTGGCCTTAAAACCACTGAATTCCAAAGGAATTTCAGTGGTAGAAAACTTGTTTTGAGGGTCAAAATAGGAGGGGGTTGTCCCCCCTCCTCTTCTCTTGTTTGCTTGTATTGATGGCCCTCCAAAAGAGCATGTGTTTCTTCTTCTTGAAAACTTTGTTAAGGCTCATTTTTGTGACTTTCCAGACCTGCCATAACTCTGTTTTGGGCTATCTTGCTCACCCCATGCATGCTTTTTACACTTACAGTGTAATCCTTCCAAACTAGCCTTGTATGCTTAAGCTTTTGGCTCATCTTTCTAGCATGTGTTGGCTCCATTCCAGTATATTTTTGGTCATTAATTAACATGCCTTGACTCTGATTTTAGTTGGTGAAGTCATCTCATGCTTGGCTTTGGTAGGTGTAGTGTAAACATGCTCATTGGCCTAGCTTACTTGATGTTTTGGCCCTTCATGCTGGCTTGTCTTGGCTATACTCCATACATATTTTAGCATTATTTTGACATGCTTTAGGACTATTTTGATTGTTCTTGGCCTTTTGAGGCTCGCTTTGTATAGCTATAGTGTATTTGGCTTTGCTAGCCTTGCACTTTGGGAACCCTAACATGTCATATTTGAGTTATTTGCATGATGTGGCATCATTTGGTAGGTGATTTCAGAGCATATTGCATTGCCACACTCTCACATTTTCCACTCCTTCAATGTGTTTGAGAGTTGTGTCTTCATGCCTTGTTGGTGAGCCAATTTGTGCGCATGCTAGTTTGATTGGTTTGGCACCACTCTTAATATGATTTCAAAGCCTAGCATGCTTGTCATTTGTCCATATTAGTCTCTTTTAAATGTGTTTAAGAGTTGTCTGTTTTATGCCTTAAATGATAGGCCTTTGTGCATGCATGTTTGCATATCTATTCCATGCTTTTGTTGCATCATATTTGCATATCTATTGTCATGCTTTTATTCAAGTATTGTGAACTTGGGTAATATTTATACATAAAAGATTTTTAGACAAATTATACCCGTAGTTTTTATATTTTGATGTTTGTATCATTTGGTTTCTATCGTTTTAGTTTTTAATTTTAAATTTTATATCAATTTAGTTCAATTGATAATACTATTAGGATTTTTTATGAGAAATGATCATTGAGTTAGTTCAGATTGAGTCACTGAATTAATTAAATTTATAATTTTATTTCTAAAAGCATGACACCTACTCATGTGTGCTTTTTTCATTAAAAATAAAAAATAAAAAAAAAATTACATACATACATACAATTGAAATTTATTAGACCAATTTGAGACAAAGTCAAAAATTCATGATTAAAATTGAACCAATTCAAATTAGAGTGACCAACATGACATAAGGGTTAAAATACCAAGACTAGCTGTATAATTTACCCAAGTTTATTTTTTTAATCAAATTTTCTTATTACTAACACAAAAATCATAAATTTATATTAATAAATACATGTGAAATTCATTGTCCTTGTCTCTATTGATAAGAAAGTTTAGTTAAAAAATCATTTATGGGCAGCATTTTCTTATGGTGTTTAAATATAGGGGGTTGTTTTGGAGTTGATTTTTTGACATTTTATAAATAAATAAAAGTGTAAAAAAATAATTTAACAACTTATAATAATTTTTGTAACTATTTGAACCCCTCTTCAAACGGGCCTAAATACGGATAAAAGCTCTATCAAATCCTAATGATTCTTTTGTTCCATTCAATTTTAAACCTTTTTACATTGTTATTATGATGGACTAATAAAAAAAAATGGATATGAGATCAAACAATATATTAGCCCATTTTAACGTGGTTAAACCCCCCTAAGAAATCTTGCTTGATTTGCTTTTCCTTAAACCACCCCAAGTGACACTCTTCCAATACTGAATATTTTCTACATATCAAACTTGTCTTAGGTGATATTTGATAAAACTGAATATTAAAAATTAAAAGTTATTTGATAATGTACTAAATTCAATCAAGTTGGCTGATTTATATAACTGATTGATTTATATAAGCAACTAAAGTAGTTAAATTTTTAATTTTACCTTTTTTACTTTTTACATTTAAATATTTTATTAAATATTTTTCTCACTAATATAACTAGAAAAAAGAATATTGTAATCACAATCATAAATCTAACCACTGAAAAAGTTTAGTACTCACTTTGTATGGTGTTTCAAGAAAAAAAGTCATCTCCAAGATGTGTTGGAACTCAAGCTCCCCATACCTCACCATACACAAGTTTACGCTTAGATTTGGCTTGTGTACTTGTAAAAAGTGTGTTGGTACTGTTACAATACTAGTGTCTTCATCTAGCCTATAGTTCGCTCTCTCTGTTGGCATATAGGTTGCTCCCTCTGAGGCTTGAATCATTAAACAGTAACTCACATGATCCTATACTCAACATGGTAGCCAAATTTTATACCAAATAATAAAAATCCGTAAGTAGAATTAACCCTTGAAAACTAGCTTGCAAGGAGAGGATACCTAAGAGCTTATATTCACATGATCAAACCAACTCTTAAGGGATGTGGGATCATAACACTCAGCCTTTTAAAATCAACCAATATATGCGATAAATATGTTACTTTGAGTTTACTTCTAGGAAATATGCTTCAAATTACAAGCAACCATAATTCAGAACATGCTTCCACTTATAAATTTGGCCTGATAATATTTTCACCATGCCGTGTGTGTGTGTGTGTGTGTGTGTGAGAGAGAGAGAGAGAGAGAGAGAGAGAATGTCAACATGATGATTTCAGCATAGTCCACTTCATTGTTAGGTTACAATCAAAAAGGTAAAATTGTAAAAAAGCTTTATAATGACATCCAAAAAGAGAGGAAAAAATCCAAGGAACAAAGAAACTCAAGTGAGACAGCTACTAAAGAAATGATCATGTAATGCCACAATGGCATATGGTTGTAAACCTGAATTCAAAATAAAAATAAAAAAAGAACAACAAGAAGTTGCTTCAATACCCAATTCTCTAATTCACCTCCACTTTCTCCAATCCTTTTCCACATCTATTGAAGTATACCAGGATTGTCGCCGCTTGGAGTTGCTTAACCTGTAGTTCAAGAGCACCTCTTCATGACAAAATGGCCTAGTGGCCACAAGGACAAGAGCCTTAAGAACCAGAACATCAGATTCACTGCTGCTAGATCCCCAAGATTTAAACCAAAAACTTCCAAACCTCTTCATCTTCGCTTCCTCTCCACTTCCAAACTTTATGTTTGGTATATTGGTTCTCATATCCTTCTCAGTTAACGGAAAATCGTAAGGGCAAACCATTACATTTGGGACCATCTCTTTTGCAGGGTGGTTCACAAAATGGGCAAAAGCTAGTGGGTTTCTCCGCTTCAACACATCGCCACTACTGGCCCCTCGTGTGGCTTGCAAAGGTTTATTGAGCGTCTTCCAAATTTGGTCAGAACCTTTATTATTAGCATCATCTTTCACATTTGGCCTAGATTTAATAACACTCGACAAGTCCCACACTTCACCGATTTCACCCCCAACACCCCAAGGCGGTGCATTGATAACAGTTCCGTCGTACCTTGTGATCAAGTACGGGTTGTGTGTATCAACTATTGGATATCCAGGAATATAACGGTTGTAAGATGGAGAGTAAATTATTCTAGGGTAGAATGCTATTACAGTACCAACATCGGCTTGACCATCTATGAATAAACCTTGGCCAACGTCCTTATGCGGAATTTGAGATGGTTTGAGCTCAAGAGTGTAGCCTATGAGATTCTTTAGACTCTGAGACCACTCAGCAGGTTTTAACGGTTTTGCATCAGGTACAGCTGTGCTGAAAATTCATGATAATCAGATTCCAGCATTAAAAGTTACTCAAAATCATTGGGAGTTCCACACCAAATAATATAGGCATAAATTCGCCAGATGACCAAGCTAGGTACGGACTACAGTGATTAAAATTTGATACAGGCACGCAAACAGATATAATTATGTAATCTTCTACTATTTCCATTGAATGCAATCAAGATAAATTCAGAGAACCAAGTGACAATATAGTTATTTTAGTACTAGAACGTTTAAACCACAGACAAAATTTTGTCAGACAGTTTTAGTGGGGGGAGGGAAAAACAAAGCATTGGTTGATCATTAATAGATCTTAATAACTTCAATGCTCCAAGAGGTCCTGGAAACCTCATTAAAAGAAAAAACAATATAACAATAATTTCATATGGATGGTTAATCATCAATAACATGTCACATAAAAGGACAGAACAACATCAGTATCATTAATTGGGAAAGAAGATGCGGTTCTGTATATCACATCGAAATGACTAAGCCATAACATAAAGAAATTAGCATATAATAAAACAACCAAGATATGCATAAAAGATGACTAAATGCTCATTAAAAAAATAAAGTTTGTAAGATCGTACAATGCTAACATCCCAACTATTTATTTCAAATGCACACGCACACATACACACACAAACACACAAAGGGTCACATCAAATGAAAAAAGGAGTTCTGAGTCGCCTTATGAGGCTCCTTGATACCACTATCCTTCTTTCTTAGTTCCCATATACCTCTAATCATTTTTCACAGTCACTAACTTGTTCTCTTTTTCTTTTTCTTCCACCCCCTCGAAAATAGTCATGATTGATATAGAGAAAATACAAGGAAAGAGATGTTATCTGAGATGTGTGATTGTTATAGTATTGCTGGAAACAGCTGAGGTGAAAGCTAGATTAGAGGCCTTGCTTTTGATAGTGCCAAATGTTAATGGTAATGGGGAAGTGAGATGGGATAAGGCATTAAGCACAAGTCAAGATCTTTTGTCAACAAGCTTAGATTTCTAAGAATGATCTCATAGTTTTGCCGTAGTTGACTACTAGGATTCACATACCTAGACCTTTCAAGCTCTTCCATATCAAGTGACTTATGCAACAAGACCATAGTTATTGTTCATAATAACTATGTTATTATGCATTGTGTACTACCTATATTGCCCATAATAAGATGATTTTTCAAGACCTGCCACTATATAGTTTCAGCAAGGAGCACTTAAAGGAACCAATTTATTCTCAGTTCACTCACTGTTTTTTTCCAGATGCCAAATAAATTTAATTTAAATCAATAACACAAAGCTATGAAAGAAAAATAACAAAAATAAAAATAAAAATAAACAATGTCTTAGACGGTTTCAGTAAACTATCTATTTGTTCTATAAGATAACAATAAACATTCTAAGATAAATTTTACAAATCAGGAAGTGGGTAAATTTAAGCAAACTCAGTGTTAGCTCAAATAGAGTAAAAAGCTGTAGTAATTCCAAACACTAATAAAGTGAAATTTAAAATGTCCCGGGGTTGATAAAAACAAATTTCTGACAGTTTGAAATAAAGATGCAGATAAATTCTCACCAGGACTTTTATTTTGTGGGCTCATCCTTCCAACAGCAAGGCCAAGGCCACTATGGGTCACAGCAGTATTCCTTTGTGAAATTGATTCAGATGATCCATTTATGCTCTTTGAATCAGGAAGAAGAATTTCATCCATTGATGCACAGAAGGTTTTAATTTGAGAATGAATGTTTTCTTGAACCTGTTTCTATTGATCAGCAAGGGAGGCCTTACCGGCCATATCAATGATCGCCTCTGCATCTGATTCATCAGCATTCCTTCCTAAATGATTATAGCTGGATATGCAAGGTTTTCCATAAGGAATTAAGACTAGCATGACAAAAAGAAAAGAAGGCAACTATATGGCAACAAAGGCTGCATCGTGTTCACATGAAGGCACACGGTAGATTAGAGCATCAATACATGACATGCAAAATATTAATCATGATGTTTGTCTCAATCTTCCAACACTATGAAAGTGAATTACCTCATCAAAGCTCAACAATCATCTATGTTACATGGACTCGGGTGAGGGTGTGTATCTAAGGGTCGGATACTTCAAAACTAAAACTTAAGGATACGTGGACATGGATCCAAATTTGAATACAGGTACGAGGATACGTTAAATAGTTATTTTTTAAATATATTTATTATATGAAGATGAGTTAAATAGTTACTTTTTAAATATATTTATTATTTTTTTTATCTTATGTATTATTTTTATTAATAATATTTTTAATTTGTTTGATTTTTAATTGATATATATATATATATATTATAAATAAAAATATATATATATATATAACAAATAAAGAATAACAAATTATGTTAAGATAAATAATAAATAAAAAATGGATGATTTGTTTTATAGATTTTATTAGATTTTTTTTATTATATATGATTTAATTGAATTTCTTTTGGGAGAGACAGAAAAGAGATTGATATTCACCGACATAGAGAGGAGAAGAGAGAACAAAGAAGAGAAAAGCGATCGACAAAGAGAAGAGAAAGAAAACAAAGATCGACATATATATATATATAGAGAGAGAGAGAGAGACGAAGACAAAGATCGTCTATAGTGGTGCTCATCAAAGTCGAATGGGCCATGCTTGTTGAAGTCGAAGGAGAAGTCAAAGCCAACGGCACGGGATTGAAGGGGCCACACTTGTTGAAGTCGTTGAATAGAGGATCGAAACCAGCGATAGGTTCTCTCCTTGCTCTCTCTTTCGTTTTTTCTGCATTTAGGGCAAATAGAGTCGTATCCACTTGTAAAGAGCCATATCCCGCACCCGTACTCGCGTCATATAGTGTCGTGTCGACACGGGTACCTCTCAAATTTCAAAGAGTCTGTGTAACGTAGACAATCATAAATATTTGTAAAATTATGCCCAGTGTTATTAAAGGCGCACCTAGACCTAAGTCCCATCCAGGTCCAAGGTTTGCGCCTTGTAATGTTCCAGGCCAGTCGACTTCGATAAGGCGCGCCTAGCCGTGCTCCTAGGCCCAAGTCCCATTTAGACCCAAGATTTGTGCCTTGTAGTGTTCTAGGCTAGATGACTTTGATAAGGCGCCTAATTGGTCCAAGGCACAATAAGGTCCAAGGCTTGTGTCTTAGGGATTTTTTTTAGTATTACTTCAATTAATTTTTTTTTTAGTGCAGCTACAGGAGATCCCTACTCTTATTATAGATGCCAATACATTGGGCATTCAACCCAAATCAATGATAAATGAAAAATTACCCTAATTCCTAATCTCCGAAGAACACTAAATTTTAACATTTCATTTTGTTTATATTGAACCCTATTATTTACTTACATTAATTTTTTATTTTTATTTTTTCGTACAAGGTGCGCCTCGCTTCAATGGAGCCTGCTCCTCGACTTGCGCCTTGAGCCGAGGCCCCACGAGACCTTGGCGCCTTGATGCACCTATCGCCTTTAATAACACTAATGCCAAGTATTGTTATTCTATTATTGGAATCATACGGTTTGCGATTTGAATCGTACAATTCGATTCAATTCAATTCAGTCAGTAATCGATATGAACATGTTGCATAAATCACAAATAGTTGTGAACCGTGAGTGAATCGGTGGATCGATTGATTCACTTTTGATTCGCTGAAATCAATTTTGACTTCTTTTTTGCTTTTTAATTTTTGAAAAAGAGTTCACACAATTTTTCTAAGGTCTTTACGATTACTATATGCTATCCTTTGACTTTCTCCCTTCCTATTTACTCTCAAAGACTCAAACCTTGAACTAAGAAGGAAAAAAAAATAGAATCTTCTCTCTATATAATATTCTAGGTTTTGATAATCAACTTTATCCAAGTGTTTATAGTTATAAAAGGAATCTTTTAAAGGCATCTAGTGAGAATGGTTGATAACAAATATTTAAAAGGAAAAAGGTAAGGTGGAGATCTTATATTAGAACATGTGTTAACTTCTTATCTATTAGACTACTTGATCATTATTCAAAACAACATTTTTAGGAGTTTGAATCTAGATATTTCATATTATGAGATATATTTAATCCCTAAGTAAGTGTATAGATATATTTTTCTATATAATCAAAAAAAAAAAAAAGTGACCGAACCTTTACAATTCACAATTCGATTTTATTCGCGATTTAATACAATGCCACTTTGATTCACAATTTGAATCCCGAAAGTTTCAAATCATCACTAGAAGTCAAACTACTTCCTCTAAGTTCAATAAGGGAAAAAATAATAATGATGTAAACCAAAAGTTGTTCAAGGTCAACTAGAACTCTCAACTCCTGCTAGTCAAGATCTTTTTGTCATTTAAGCCAAGTTCATTAAGTATTTAATAAGTTAATATTGTCCCATTGGGTAGATTTTTATCTTGAAAGGCATTACCAAACCAAACCAAACCAAGCCTTAAGTCCCATCAAATGGGGTCGGCTACATGAATCCTTCTTCTCCACGCGGCCCTATCAAAGGCCATTTCATTAGTCAAATTAAGTAGATTCATATCTCTATTTATAACGCTAGTCAACGTTAATCTAGGCCTACCCCGTCCCCTAACACTTCCATCTTCCGTTACAGTATCGCATCTCTTCACTACTGCCGCTGTTGGTCTCCATTGAATATGACCAAACCATCTCAAACGATTCTCTCTCAACTTATCTTCTATCGGTGCTACTCCTATCCATTCCCGAATACACTCATTCCTAATCCTGTCTTGTCTAGTCTTACCACACATCCACCTTAGCATCCTCATCTTAGCCACACTCATCTTATCTACATGTTGTTTCTTGGTTGCCCAACACTCCGTCCCATACAACATAGCTGGTCTAATAGCCGTTCTATAAAATTTACATTTTAGTCTAGTGGGTATTTGTTTATCGCACAATACCCCAGACGCACTTCTCCATTTACACTATCCCACCTTAATCCTATGGGCCACATCTGCATCAATCTCTCCCGCTGTTGTGATGATCGACCCTAAATAACGAAAATGTTCACTCTTAGGCAGTTCTTGGTTCTCAATCTTCAGTTCTCCTCTGTTTTCATTGTTACTGTTACTAAATTTACACTCCATGTACTCTGTCTTAGTTCTACTTATTCGGAATCCTTTAGATTCAAGAGCTTTTCTCTAAATCTCCAACTTTGTGTTAACTCCTTCTCTAGTCTCATCCACTAACACAATATCGTCTGCAAAAAGCATACACCATGGCACGTCATCCTGAATATTTATCGTCAACTCGTCCATAACTAAAGCAAAAAGATAAGGACTTAAGGTAGATCCTTGATGTAACCCTACAGTGATAGGAAATTCATTTGTCTCTCCAGCTGGCGATCTAATAGTGGTCGCCACCCCTTCATACATGTCTCTAATCACGTCAATGTAGCCTTTTGTCACCCCTTTCTTCTCTAACACCCACCATATTATATCTCGGGGCACTCTGTCATATGCTTTCTCAAGTTCGATAAACACCATATGAATGTCTCTTTTATTTTCTTTATACTTTTCTATTACTCTCTTCAAAAGATAGATCGCTTCCATTGTTGACCTACCAGGCATAAACCCAAATTGATTCATTGACACCTCTGTTATGTCACACAATCAGCGTTCCATCACCCTCTCCCAAACTTTCATTATATGACACATTAGCTTGATTCCTCTATAGTTGTTACAATTCTGGACATCACCTTTATTCTTATAGATGGGCACTAAAATACTCTTCCTCCACTCATCTGGCATGTTCCTAGTCAACAAAATTTTGCTAAATAACCAAGTCAACCAAGCAACTCCCTTTTTACCCAAACACTTCCAAGCTTCAATAGGGATATCATCGGGTCCTAAAGCCTTGTTTGATTTCATCTTCTTAAATGCAATCTCCACTTCAAAGTTCCTAATCCTGCGATAGAACCTATAGTCTTGATTTATCGTATTACTGGCTATTTCTTCCCCTATTGTCGTACTTCCATGTTCCTCATTTAACAGTTTCTCAAAATAATTCTTCCATCTTTCTTTAATCTCATCATCATTCACCAATACGATAGAATCCTCACTTTTGATGCACTTTACTTGATTAAAATATCTTGTTTTCCTCTCCCGTATCTTAGCAAGTTTGTATACCCTCTTCTCTCCCTCCTTACTATCTAGTCTAGTGTATAGGTCATCATAAGCTTTCAACTTAGTCTCTCTTACTACTTTCTTGACCTCCTTATTAGCCAATCTATAACTCTTAAGGTTTTCCTCAGTTCTATCATTCTGCCACTTTTTAAAGCACTCTTTTTTTGCCTTAACTACCGCTTGAACCTCTTCCCTCCACCACCAAGTTTCCTTAGAGCTAGGTACCGTTCCTTTCGACTCTCCAAACACTTCCCTTGAGATTCTCCTCATACAATTGGCCATCGAATTCCACATAGTGTTAGCATCACCTTCTAAGTCCCAAGTACCTTCCTTATCCATTCAATTCTTAAATATTTCTAGTTTATCCCCTTTTAGGCACCACCATCTTGTCCTACGACGCCCACCATCCTTCCTAGCTTGGTATTGCCCTCTAAAACATAAATCTAGTACCAAAATCCTATGTTGAGAGATCCGACTCTCTCCAGGAATCACCTTACAATCATTGCATTTTAGGCAGTCCACTTTTCTTGCTAAGAAGTAATCTATTTGGCACTTAACTAATCCACTCTTAAAGGTTATCAAATGCTCCTCCCTCTTCTTATACATAGTATTGGCCACCACCAGGTCAGAAGCCAACGCAAAATCTAAGATTCTCTCTCCAGTCTCATTTCTGTCACCAAAACCGTATCCACCATGCACCCTTTCATAACCTAGTTTATCTATACCCACATAGCCATTAAAATCTCCACCTATACCAGGTTCTCTCCTACGGGTATCTCCTATAAGATCTCATCCATTTGCTCCCAAAAATCCCACTTAGTCTGATCATCTAACCCTACTTGAGGGGCGTAAGCGCTAATAATGTTCACTATATTCCCTCAAATAATTAGTTTAACTAGCATAATCCTATCTCCTTTCCTAGTGACCGCCACCACACTTTCCACAAGACCCTTGGCAATTATAATTCCTACCCCATTCCTGCGTTTATCCTTACCACTATAATAAAGTTTAAAACCAGTATCCTCAATTTCCCTAACTTTCTCTCCTGTCCACTTAGTTTCTTGTATGCAAGCTATACTAACTCTCCTCCTAATCATAACATCTACCAATTCCATCGTCCTACCAGTTAAGGTTTCTATGTTCCAAGTGGCTACCCTAAACCTATAGTCTTGGACTAGCTTCTTTACCCGCGCTCGTCCAGAAAAACGCGGAAACCTTCGCCAATTTTTTACCGCACCCAGGCGTCGATGCGGCGCCCCTTGCTCATTTTTCGAAACATCCGGAGGCAGGCGCAACGCGTCACTTGAGGGGAACGACCTAGCATTTAAACGATTCAAAGTAGGATTCATTTTCATAAGGGATCCGAGCGACTTTTTTACGTATTGGCTGTCGGCTACCTAACACACAACCCTCCTCCTTAACCCGAGCTTGGGACCGGCAGAGTTGTTAACAACCCCGGCGAAGTTCTCTTGAAAGGCATTATATAAAGAATTTACAAAATAGAATGCATACCTTAATTACAAATTCAAAGCCTTACTACTAGATTTCTAGGTAGAAACAAAAATTATATATTGCTCAAATTGAAATACCATAAGATTATTGTCGATAATAGATACTTCAAGAATTCAAGATGAATTTGCCTCTTATTATGACCTATCCAGAATACATGACACCATTTTCAATACATTAACAATTGTTAAAATTTCTTCTTTTTCAAGGCCACAAAACTCAAGTCAATCAAGCATTAATGCATTCATAACTTTAAAGCACGAAACATAGGTGTTGTGAAAGGCAAAAGTAGTCTCGGGACAAGAGTAACATGAACAATGGTTAACTCAATAACCAAATAATATGAACCTGGTGTAAAGAAAGAGGCGATTTATATCAGCCCCAAATTGAATGTGCCTTGGATTTCTAGCAAATGTGGGACTTTTTGCAAGAATTCTCACAGCCTGATAGCAAAATGAAGAAATAGAAAAACCTTATTAAGAAGATGATGGAAAGATTGAACATCAGCAATGTTTAGGACTAAAGCAGGGGGGCCACATTTAACATATGGAGGAATCTATCAACTAACAAATTCTGCAGTACTGTAACAAGATAAATTATCCCAAATTGGATGCAGATGCCATGTTGTAGTTTTGTGGCCAACCCAATGGGGTCATTGATATTGTAAATACATATTTGGAATATGGAGGTGAAATCTGTTAGTTGGTAGGAAAACTCCCAAAACATGCCTAAATATAACACAAGTATTCAAAATCTTGACATGAAGACATCTAAAGTAGTTGTATTGAGCATACTCTATATAACTCTTTGTCCCACATGTAACCATAAATTTATATTAATAAATAAATAAATAAATAAATAACATTGGAGATAAAGGTGCAACAATGAGTAAGGTTAATTGACAGTGGCGGGAAGTGAATAAGAGGTAGTGACAAATTAAAGTATGGAAGCTCAAGCTGCTCCACTATTTATGTATCATCTCAAATATGGATTCTTCGAAAAAACCATCCACTTCTAATGAGTAAAACCCCCTTGAATGTAATGAAGACAATTGATTCAATTTAACAAACCAAGTGGATAGTGTGGTTTGCTTCCATAAAAGAACCTTTAATAAAAAGGTGCATGTGCGATTAAAATATATAAACTCCTTCTCTTTAGAATCTTTTGGTGCAAAACATATCACGTTAAAAACTTAGCCAAAGGTTAAACAACATGGCTCTAAATTGTGATACTAGGAGACATAACTGTGAGGGTCACAGTGTAACAGTATCAAGTATCAAGCGATACACAAGCTGCTGTTGGATTGAAAAACAAAATCAAAAAATGAAGAAAAACTACTCATCATATTTTGATTGGCCAAAGCTAATTTCATTTCCCCAGCAAATAATAAATAAATAAATTTTGAAATTTTATTACATTTTTGTGTGTGTGTGTGTGTGTGTTTTTTTCTCACATAATAGTTTCCTATGTACGTGAGGTTGTTATCCGCATCAATAGAACATAGTTTATTTCTCTTTTTCCCTTTTGACATAAATGTCCAAGTGACCTAACATGTTCCTCCCAATCTGTACTTGTCCCACCAATTACAAAACCTTTGTGCTCTTATCATTTCCTATACAAATTCTAACTAGTGACAATTGTCCATAAGATTACGAGTGGCCCTCGCTTTAGATTGCCCAACCCATCTAGTGGTCTTATGTATACATCAATCTTACACATCTACATCAATCATACTATCAATTATTTTTCTCCCTAGCCAATTTTATTTTTCAAAAGCAAGTAAAAATCTTCATTTTTACCATAAACTTATAAAATTTTCGGTAAATATATCCACCTAGGTTTATGAAATATACAATTGATTCCCTCACATTTTGAAAATTACATTCCACTCTTTAAGGTTCCAAATCTCATTACAATACCCCCTATTAACCCACAATCAACTAACAAATTTTGATGACATCATCATCAAAAATTTAAAAAATACCAATTTTAACCTTAATAACCCAAACCCAAACCCAAACCCAAACCTAATCCCCAACCCTAAAAATAATGAGATGTGTTATGATGGAAGAAAACAAAGAACGAAAAGAGGGGTGAGGACAGCGATGGTTTGCAATGTTGTTGGGTGGAGGTGTATTGGTTGCTACGATTGAGGAATTGCTGCGTTGTTGTGCTAGGGGTTGTGTCTCTCTGGAATGGTTTGTCGATCAATTTTTTATCTGTTAAAACTTGTGATTGTTTGTAGGATGGCTACAATGGTGAATATAGTGGTTTGATGATCGATTCAGTGTTGGTTGAGGGTGGAATGGGAGTGGGGATCGCAAGGGAGGATGGATGAGTGATGGTAGAGGATAGGGGTTGCGGGGAGAGTGGAAGAGGATTAGTGGTGGCAGGGGAGGGTGAATGAAGGACGAGGGGTGGTATGGAAAGGTGGGAGTTAGCAGTTAAGGGTTAGAGGGGAGGACGGTGGCAACCCCTTGTCGCAAATCTTACTCACAAATACTTACAAGTTGTTTGAAACTTTGATGTAATGCTTCAGTGATGTAAGATTTGCTATGTTTAAAGTTAAATTATTGGGCCACCACTTTCCCTCACACAATACAGCATGCTCACATCCTCAAATTCCTCTTCTACCTCAATCAATTTGGGGATTTCTCTGGTAATGATAGGAATTGGGGGTAGCCATAGGTTTCACACAATTTCCACTAACAACGACGTTGCGTTGTTGGGGTTGTTGTCGTGGAATTTGTTGGTGGATGATGGCAGTGTTGTGACAATGGGTGTTGGCAATTGCACTATTAGCCATGGATAATGAATAGCAGTTGGAGGTGGTTGGGTGCAGTGGGTGTTGGCAATTGCACTGCTAGCCTTACTTTTCCACTTAATGCACACCACCATAGGCACATATAAAAAGCAAGGGACCTCAATCCAAAGAGATTAAAACCATGAAATACAGCATAATAACTAGTCACTCTTTCTATTGTACTTGGGTTAAAAAAAATTGAGAAATTAGTAAATTTGTACGAAAATAAAAGTAGTAAATTTGTAAGTACATTCGTTCATTTGCCAGGCCCAAAGTCCAATCCTTGTCACAAACAAATTGGGGGGTTGGTAAATATCATAAACCCTTAATTTGGATGTTCATAGTTATGTGTGGGTATGCCACTTAAACTAGTTTTGAATGTAAAATGAGTAGTTCAACCAAACAGAAAGAGAAAGAGAAATGAATTGGAAGTAATTTCAATCAATTGCAAGCATTGTCCAGAAAGAATCATAGATATATAGCAATAATCAAATATAATTAACAGCAAATTTGTAAAGCATTCATATATATTTATCAATTTACCTATAACCCGCTTACATAAATGCAAAATTATTTTATACTGAGCTTTTTCAAATTCTAATGCTAGTAGTCGCGCGACACCTATCATTTTCATTGTATAATTTTTCTTAATTTGATTATTTTGCTTATTACTTTGTAAAATATAATTTTGAATAATATCGATCATATATTCAATTAATTTGTGAGTTTTTTTTTTGTCAATATTTAGAATAAATCATAATTTTTAAAAGAAAACACAAAAACAAAAATGAAAAAACCAAGGTTGTACAAGTGACTTTTTTTTATTTATTTTGTATTTCTACTTGCCCAACTTACTCAAACTATTGGCTTAAAATAGTCAAAATATTCAACTAACTTGTCAATTTTAAGAATAAGTTGGTGCCGGATTGAAAAATTCTCAATATGTCAAAATTAAATTTGTTTATGAATTTTTTAGAAAACCAACCGAAATCAACTTGTGTGCACCCTTATTGGTGGGACAAAAGTCCAATAAAAATAAATATATAAAAAAATGAGAAAATATCGTATAAATACTTGTAAATTAGTGGAGTTTAAGTGAGTTGTGTGTCTAGTGCAACTAACTGCGAAATTTCTACTAATTTGAAATTAATTTTTCAATTTTCATTTATCTATATTTCCATACAAAAAAGGTAAAATAATAAATTATTTTGAACAAAGAGTAAAGTAGAAATAATCTTTCCAAAATTTTGACAACATATGAAGTTAAATTTTCTATACATATGCATGGAGATGAAGTTAAGTTTTTGTTAGAGTTCTAGTGCACAAAAAGTTTGCTTACCCCCCTTTCTCTCTCTCTCTCTCTCTCTCCCACATGTCATCTTAGATTTTGAACGACACTACCATTGGCAAATCACAACCACCATTGTCATTATCACCGATTTCTTTATCAGATTGTTTATGCACCATCACCTTCACTTGACTTCAATGACCTCATACAACAACTACTGCCTTACGACATTGTTCACGTATAATCTCTACTACCTTCATTTCAAACACTCTACCACCAACGCCACCTTATTGCTTCTTCGTTTGCTTCTATGGTCCATATTTGTTTTGGTGTCTCTTTATCTTTTTCTTTCTTTATTTCTCTCTCATTCATTTCTTTGTTAAAAAATATGTAAATTCAAAGTCTCATAGTGAAATACAAACATAATAAAATACTCAATGAAATTTTTCATTGCACAATGAAATTGCACTGTGTCTCAGTGAATTTTCACTGTGCGAGTTAATGAAATTTGGCTTTCTGCACCCAATGATATTTTAACTAAATATCAAAAATTGTTAAAAGGAAAAGAAATGCAAAAATGTGTTTTTTAGAGGTAATATCATTTTGCTCCCTAAATTTTCATTTATTTTTTAATTTGACCCTCAAATTTCAATTAATATCAATTTTCACACAAACTTTTCAAAATTTTGATCAATTTGGCCCTTACCGTCACATTCTGTCTATAATTAGATGAAAGAAAATTGTTTCATAGCTCGAAATTTCAAAGGCTCGAGTGCCCCGAATGCCAAAACGACATCGATTTGCGTTTTGGGCATTTTTTTTCCCTCTATTTTCTCTTTAAAACAAAGAGGCGAGAAAAGAAAGAGAGGAGGAACAAAGAGAGAAGGGAGGAAGAGAGAAAAAGAAAAAAAGAGAGGGGAAACAGAGAGAGAGAGAGAGAGATATATACAAATCTATGTGTGTATACACAGATCTATGTATACATACAGAGAAGGGTTGCAACGGACGACGGTGATAGTAGCGCCGGTGGGTTAAGATATTTGCAACAGTGATGGCGATGAGCGACAGTGATGGCTACGCTGGTGGGTGGAAGGTTTGTGTAAGGTCTCGGTGTCCCACATCGAGAACGAAGAGGGAGTTCCTCGGTTATAAAAGTAAAAATCTAAACCCTTATATAGTATTGAGGCACTTTCCTAGGTGGTGAAATCCCTAGTATAACTCCCCAATTAAGCGTGTTTAGGCTGGAGTAGTTCTGGGATAAGTGACCCACTAGGAAGAACAAATCCGTGCGAGCGTGGCCCAAAGCGGACAATATTGATGACATGTGAAGGGTTGGGGCGTTACAAATGGTATCAAAGCCGACTCTCCGGAGTACCGAGTATGGGCCCTTAATATCTCTTGGTACATGTGAACGGGCTTATGAGCTGGCAGGCTACTGCACAAGAACTTGCAGCCCTAAGGGCGATGGATTATAAGGTCTCGGTGTCCCACATCGGGCATGGAAGGGGAGTTCCTAGGCTATAAAAGTAAAAATCTGAACCCTTATATAATATCGAGGCCTTTTCTCGGGTGGTGAAATCCCTAATAGAACTCCCAATTAAGCATGCTTAGGCTGGAGTAGTTCTGGGATGGATGACCCACTGGAAAAAAACAAATCCGTACGGGCGTGGCCCACTGGGAAAAACAAATCCGTGCGAGCGTGGCCCAAAGCGAACAATATCGATAACATATGAAAGGTTGGGGCGTTACAGTTTGCAAAGGTGATGGCGGAGTCGGTGGGTGGGAATTCCGGCTCTCTCTCTCTTTGTTCCTTCCTCTTCTCTCTCTCTCTCTCTCTCTCTCTATTCCCCCTCTCTCTTCTCTCTTTCTCTGATCCCCCTCCCTCTTCTCTTTTCGTCCCTCTTTTATCCTTCTCTGGTCTTCCTCCTCTCCTTCTTTTCTCCTTCTTCTTT